TTTTAAATTTCAAAACAAAATAGTCTCTTTCAGTCATTGCTTCGAAAAGAATGTGCAGTTCCGAGTAAAGTTATGAATTTTCTTAAGATTTTTTCAAAATCACTTCGATGTAATTTCACAGAAAAATTGTATCAGTTAAATTGGATTCATTTTGAGGTTTGAATAGTTCGTGTAGAAATATTTTAATTTGTCTCTAAAAACAAATTCATAACTTCGTAATATTTTTATTGATTTTAATGAATGGTACCTAGTTTTACTCGGAATTAAACATTCTTTTAGAATTAATGACTAAAAGTTACTATTTTCTTTTGAAATTTTGGCAAACATATTGTAGAAGTGGGAAAAATAATAAAAATTGGTTTAAATTTCAGATTTATTCCAAAAATTTTCCACATATTTACAATGCGCTCGCAAAACTTATTATTTCTTTAAAAAGGACAAATATTCCTGTTTTTAAAGCCAGATAAATACTTAACATTGGTTATTTTTCTTTTAAGTTTTCATTGAAAACATTCACTCCGTGCTTTCTTTACATTTTTCGCTTTCTTATTTGAGCTAGTAATGAGGAAAATATCGATATTGTCGATAAAATAAAGAAATAACTTGGACGTTACACGATCAAGATCTTGCCCTGCAGTAAATCGCGCTAGTTCAAGACTAGCGCAGAACTAGCCCTTTAAGAGGCGGTACTGGTTCTCGATCTATCCCAACGCAATGCTTTTAACTGTCTCGTTTTACATGGCGATGTCCTACGAAGTGGAAATTGGCCCCCTATGCAGAACTTTTGAACTAGTTCTGCACTGGTTCCATTTTGGACACATCTGCGACAGTAAGTTTTTTATTTAAAAAAATTCTGATTATTAGATTTTTTTATATTTTTTCGTTTTTTCTGTTCTTTAAGAGATTGCATTCTATTAAATTTTTATTTATTTTTTTTATTTTGTTTATATTAAATTTGATCACTTTCTCTCCAATTTTTAAACGGCACTCATTAATTTAAATTTCTTGAATCTGAAAATCACAACTGCCTCCACCGCTATTTGAACTCATGACTAACGATGTTAGAGTCGGAGGTCTTCCCGCTGAGCTATTTTCGTATTGTACGAGAAGTGAGAATTTGTGCATTTACTTCTCAACACAGCGCAACTAACACACCGAAAGTTTTAACTGTCCCTCTCTGCAGCCGTTTTGCACTAGATCAGAGATGGTTCTGAAATGTGTAGGGCGGAACTAGCGCTTTAAGAGACTGTCTCTAAATTTTACTGCAGGGTGGTTTCAAGTTGCAATACACTCACACTTTTTTACTAACACACACGCACGTTTACAACTTGAACGTCGACTTAATATCAATTTTTACATTGAAGTCGTGTAGTAACTTGAAAGTTAAGTCAAACAGCTGATTGATTTTTTTTTCTAAAAATGTACATACCTTTGCATATTCCGGTACATTTGCTTGTACCCAAACCTTCGTTTCGGTACACGGTACAAAACCAAAAGTTTCGGTTCTATACCGGAGATTTAGGTACAGGTGGTCGCCTTATGCATAGATACATATATAAGTGTCCGCATATATTTTTTCTCGTCACTTGCTCTGTCGCTTCACTGCAGCAAAACCAAGTTGTGGGGAAAACCCTGACGATATGTGTACAATTGAAACCATGTGTTTGATGTGAAAATTTCAATTTCATATTAAATATATTTATGTATGCATGTACATATGTACATATGTAAAAATGTAGTTTCGATTTAGAGAAATTGGATACATTTTTTCTTTCGCCATTCATACACCTCTAATTTTAGTATTTATTAAAAAAAACTCAACGAAATTCAAAAACTATCTCCTGCATTTGGTTTTACTCAATACCGATTTGAGCTGTCGCACAGTGTTATCAAAAAACAAGTAAGAAAGTCTAAGTTCGGGCGGAGCCGAACATTAAATACCCGGCGCAATTATTAAATATATGTTTTCCACCTTTCTGAAAGCTACCGCTACACGATAAGCCGGGGTGTATAAATCTTAAGTAAATTAGCGTCCTTAAATTTCGAAATATTGCAGTTTCAAGCATTTCTGAAATATACCGTTATATGAAAAGCGGTCGTAATTTTAGTCCGATTTCAATAATTTTCAACGCTTTGCTTTTATGTGGCAAGCACAATAACCATACCGAGTTTGGTTCAAATTGCTAGAACGGTTAGCGAGATACATATATGTGATCATAAGTGGGCGGTGCCACGCCCATTTTCCAAAATTGTATCATAAGCGTATTTCTTGGTAAAAAATTGTTGCAACCATCAATTTCGGCGCGTCTGGAAACGCCGGCGCTACTGCCCATAAGGTAGATTCCAAAGAGCCATGAGGCTACTATTATCATGTCATCACGTCAGCGTTAGGCATTCACCATGCCAATTCATATTATAATTCTATTTAATTCATTCATTAAACTAGTTTTAAATTTAAATTACGTTACTTCCTACTTGAATTAAAATGTTGAGTGCCTGGCGCTGATGGATGAGCGAACAGAAGAAGGTCTGAGGTATATACATACATACACACATGGCTATGTATGTTCTCTACACCCTACAGGAAATGTATCTGACTATAAGCTAACTTTAAGTTGATTAGGAACGAGCTAAAAGTCACTTATTATTTGTATATTTTCTTTGACGAAAGCTAACTATATTTCTATGGCGATGGCCGCGACATTGTCAAGGGTGGTTTACCTCTGCATTAGATGTAGTCAAAGGTGGTTACCTCTGCATTTGATGTAACTAACTTGTAACTAACTACTTTTGGACATAAAATATCAATATGAAAAGCAAAATATTAATTTTTATTTTTTTATTTTTATTTACTTTATTACATATCATATTTGTTTTCATATCCTGCTGTAGGTGGTCCCATATTCGAACTCCGTCAGACATAACTTCAAAATGATAATTATCATTATACTGTCCGGCGGGACATTAAAATTTACCGCGCATACTAATACATATACGCATGTACAGTGACGGGCAAAACTGTAACATGGTGTAACACTTTTTACTTCAGCCATAGCTATCCTTCCAAGTTCTAACGACTTTCACACTTTTGTTGTATATTCTTGTTGGTATATCTCTACTCCCTCTCTCATAACGATTTGAAGTCAATACAACAACAATAAAAAAACCAGCAGCCAAAAATGTAAATTAAGGCAGATGTTACAGTTTTGCACTCCTACATTTTTAAGAACTTTTTAACAATTTTCACAAAAAAAAAAGAACTACTAACACAAGGTTCAGTACTCTTTTGCTTGTTTCCGTTCCTGGATATGATTTGGTACCTTATTTGTATCTCTGTAAAAATTCTGGAGGTATATCCTTAGCTTGCTTTCACTGCTCATGTGCTCGATTTTACGGACTTGGATACTTAGTAAGCTGTGGTTTTAGTTGTTTTCGCAAATTCTAAATGAGATTCATGTCCGCGGATTGTGGAGGTCATTTGAAATTAGCAAATTTTTGCTTTTGTATCCAGTCTTTGCGAATATGTGCAGTGTGTTTTGCGTGATTTTTCAGCAGAAACTCTCATTTTTTCGACTACATCTTGCGAATTTTGTTGAAATACGAACAGATACTGTTCCTTACGCATAATGTGTACTAACAGACCAAGAAAATTTTTGAAATACAACCTCAAACTATTATTGACCGACCACTGTTATTCACAGTTTGCCTTACATGCTGCGCATGGGCTTATTTTGGGTCTTTGATCCAATACCATGCCCGGCCATCTGATTGAAGGCGATTAATTTAGTATTGTCAGACCAAATAACCTTCAATTGAAACTTAAAAATATGTTTGTTATTGCATTCTGAACGGCCTAACATATCCCAATAGGCCGCGGTTCGGTTTTCGTGCGATGCAGCAACATGCTGGCACACTCGCACATGTAAATTTGCTTTTTTCTTCTTTATGATGCCTTTGCGCTCAATTTGGCAATTCTTCGCCTCGCTGTCTATTGATTTGCGTTAAAGTTTAATACCTTAAGCGCTTTTGTAATAGTGCATCGCTTCTTGCTGCTAAGTTCACAAGATATCGTACCGTAATATTTTTTGACAGACTTCCTTTGTCCTTGGGAACACTTTAGGATATATTTTTTCTCAGTCTTAACATTTTCAAGTAGCAAATTCCATAATTTTTTCCACTTTTCGTGAGGTCCCGCCTTTCCGCAGTAAATCTATTATTTACATTTAGGGTTCCTGATTAACTATATTATTTAATGGTGATCACTTCTTCAATAAATTACAATACAGAAAAAAGTTATCTGACTTCCAACTAAGTAAGAGATAACTGTCAAATGCAAAACTGAGAGTTGAGTGCAAAACTGTGACATCTGTGACTTCAAATCGTTATGAGAGAGGGAGCAGGGATGTACCACCAATAATATACAACAAAAGGATGAAAGTCTTTGGAACTTGGAAATATAGCGATGGCTGAATTAAAAAGCGTTACATCATGTTACAGTTTTGCTCGTCACTGTATGTATCCGTGTATGCAAATAGGCATATATATGTATGCCTATGCAGATACGTATGCACGTACATATGCTGGCATTAGGGTGGTGCATAAATAAGTAATATTTAGGCTGAAGGCCTAAACATACCGGCCCCCTTGCGATAAGCAACATCTGGACAATTACTTGTTACGATAGCTACCAAGCTCTCCTGAGTCTGTTTACACTTTCATTCATTTTATTTTTTCTCAAAATTGCAAAACAAAATAGCTCCGGTGACCAGCGCGTTAATGTCAGTTCCTCTTCCTACTGCTGGGAGATGAGAGAGAGAGAAATAAAGGTACAGACGTGGTCATAATTCAATGCACTTTTATTTAGAAATAAAAACTAAAATAAAAATATACAAAAATTCATTATAAGCCATCTTACGAAAAAATATGAGGATGTTATTAAAGAAAATTATTATTATTTTTTATTTTTTTTGCTATCAAGCTCCTGGATGGGCCAGCGTCGATATAAGCTATTACGCGCTATATATCTTGTCAACAAACTGATTATCCGGAATTTGTGTTGATTTCGTTAAAGTATAAAAGCATTATTATCTCCCCTTTTATGGTACTAGTCAAAGTTTACTAATAGTTATTATCAGCGCTCGACCTGGAACCGCTTGAAGGAATGGGCAGTGAGTTCTGCGCCACTGGCACGCCAGAATCACAGTGCCTTTGTTCGGAAAAGCAACGTTTTTTGAATATGATTTTGAATCAGACATCATATACGGGGCATGCTGATATTTATGATAGAAAGACATGGGAAACTTTCGCACATGTGTGGCATATTCTGTGGACAATCGCGCCGGTTGTATATTTCTTTGCAATTGCGCGCATTGTTGGGCAAGTGATTGAAAAAAGAGTTCCTCCGCATGCTGTATGCAGATTTCTTATTGGGTTTGTGTTGATCGTCGTACCAACAGTGCTAATTGTGAATGTGCTCAACAGCTATGTTGGCTATGTGATGTTAT